TCAGTATTGGCACCATGTATAACAAGGAAACTTAAGCACAGGGGAAAATTAATAATTTGTCCAAGTGACAGATTTGAGGACAAGGCTGTCTGAAATAGAGACAGTTTATTTTATTTTATTTTATTTTATTTTATTTTATTTTATTTTATTTTTCGAGACAAGGTCTCACTATGTAGTTCTTGCTGGCCTAAAACTTGTTATGTTAACCCAGGCTGGTCTTGAACACACAGAGATCCACCTGTCTCTGCTTCCTGAGTGCTGAGATTAAAGGCATGTGTCACCACACCCCAAAGGACAAATTATTAAAGAAGACTAGGAGTGGACTGGACTTCTGAGAGAAAGCTCTAACAGCTGAGGGAGGAAGGTCTGACCGAAGATGATGGACAGGAAAGGAAACAGAAGGTAGAGCTGGGGAGGGCTGCAAGCCAGAAGGAAGCCATTTCATTTTGCTTTAACAGATAGACAGAAAGATGGAAGACAAGAGAAAATGGTGAGACTAGAGGTCTGGAAGATGGCAGGAGAGAGTAGGGTCAGGAACTCCCGTGGAAGGGTGAGAGGGGAGGGACAGTTGTTTCTTCAGAAGGAAAGATGCAATAGGAGAAACATGATATCACGCACTATTGTGTGTAACGTCATCCTGAACCATGCTCAGTGGAGCAAAGGGACTCTTCCCTGTGTGCTTGTACTGAGATATTCTGTCTTGGCTGTTTTCCTCTCTGACCCAGTAGTGCTTCTGATTAGATTTGCAGTTATGGTGACCCTGATCAGGTAACCTCAGTTCTTCCAGAGCACTGTGAAACACAGGCCAGAATTTCTGACCAGATTCTAAATAATTTCTCACACTTCGAATTTCACTGCCCAGATCCTGAACTCTAAGATCTGAGCTAAACTGAAGAAGAAAGGGAACAAATTTAGGAAATATTTTTAAAAAAAAATCTGGAGAGGTGGGAGGTGGAGACAGAGTTTCTTCATATAGCCCTGGCTATTCTGGGAACTGACTCTGTGGACCAGACTGGTTTCAACCTCACAGAGATCTGCCTGCCTCTGCCTCCCAAGTGCTGGGATTAAAGTGTGTACCACCAACACCTGGCTAAAAATCTTTTAAAATAATGAATAAAAGGGAGAGAGAGAGAGAGAAAGAGAGAGAGAGAATGAGAGAGAGAGAGAACTTCAGAAACACTGCTGTCCCTCTGTTATTTTTTCCAGTGCCTCAATTGTTTAACTCAAAAAGAAACGATTACCTCTTTTTATCTTATTTTCCAAAGTTATCATGCCTGCAAATATCCATCCCACAGCTATGGCCTTGGCTCAGTCTGCCTGTCATGTGGATAAAACCCTTAGGCTGCACAGCTACTCAGGAGCAAAAGCCTCATCTGGCAGAGGCTGTCACATTCTGAGTCCCTCCAAACCCTTCTTCAGTTTCCCAAGAGAACCAATCAAAAATAGAAAGTATCAGAGTCAGCAACTTCTTTGGCCTCCTGGTCCTCTGCTGGGCTCATCGGTGCCCAAGGGGGATGTCTACTGTAGTCTTGGGGCTAGGGAAAGTAGAGTTCACAAGAGGAGGTGAATGTGACAGAAGTGCAGTAACAAAAAGATACGACAAAGAATGAAAGGTTACTATTTAAATGGACCCACAGTAACTGCTTCCCAGAACTGCCCCCAGGTTATAACTGTTTATCTTAATATTGCTCTGATCCATCAGAACTTAGTCCAGTACCAGGATCCAAATGCCGGGATAGCTTCTGAATGGGGGTACCTGGCTAGAGCACTGAGTCTGATCCTCATCTTGACTTTGATCCTCATAAAGATTCTGCTTGTGTGTGTGTGTGTGCATGTCTGTGTGCATGTCTGTGTGCATGTATGTATGTACTTAGTATACATATAGGTAGAGTTCAGAGGTCAACCTTTGATGTCATTCCTCTTAACTACTATTCTACTTTTTTTTTTTTAAGATAGCATCTCTCACTAAGACCTGGGGTTCAGTGATAGGCTAGTCTTGATATCCATCAAGTCTTAGAATTTGCTTTCTCCACCTCCCTAGCTCTGGAGTTACAAGTACATCCCACTACGCCCACCCAGCTTCTTGAGTGGGTGCTAAGGATCTATAGTTTTTTTTTTTTTTTTTTTGGTTTTTCGAGACAGGGTTTCTCTGTGTAGCCCTGGCTGTCCTGGAACTCCCTCTGTAGACCAGGCTGGCCTCGAACTCAGAAATCCGCCTGCCTCTGCCTCCCAAGTGCTGGGATTAAAGGCATGCGCCACCACTGCCCGGCGGGTGCTAAGGATCTAACTCATCAAGTCCTCATACTTATGCTGGAAGCACTTGATTGACTAAGCCATCTCCCAATCACTTCTTTCTTCTTTTATTTCTTTTGAGTTCGTATCTCACAGTACAGGCTTAGTTGGCCCAGTTCTAACTGTGCAGCCTCTGCTGGCCTTAAGCTGTTGGCAATCCTCCTGCCTTAGCTTTCCGTGTGTTGGGATTACAGTGTGTACCATCATGTTCAGGTCTCTTGAATTTTAATTGTCCCTTATATGTTCTCTGCCTGGACCTCAGTGAGAAGCTGACATGGGAATATTTTCTTATATATTGTGTTACCTACCTGCTCTCCTTGCTGTTTCAAACAGCAGAGAATTTACTGGCCTAAGCTGGAAAGGGAGATTATTGAAGGTACATGCTTGTGAGTGTGTGTATGATAGTAGGGTTCGCTAATTAGCTACAGCAAGGCCCCTGGCAGGTGGTGGAAGCCCTGTGCTCTAAGGCCACAGATGAGATAGAAGTGATGTGCCATGCTGGCATCTTTGCCTTTCCTCTGCCTTCAAGGTGGCACGTCGCGTGTTGGTTTCTGGGGCCTTGAAAAGCATATAGTGAGCTCAGGTTTTGTCACCAACTTTGCATATCATCTCTCCTTCCACATCCCTTAATGAAGTGTGCAACTCTTGTCCTCATTAAGCCGGAGCATTGTCAATAGAAGAGTCAATAAACCTGGTTGATGGAGCTGGGACGGAAAGGCTGAGATGAGGCTGCAGCACCTCCACAGGGCAGATGTCAACTCTGCCATGTGTCATGACCCAGTGTTCAGGGATCAATAACAGGCTGAGGAGAAAGCCTCAGAACCTGCCCCCTGCAGTCTCTTTTCCAGACCCACCGAGCCCAGGGTGGGGCAGTGCCAGCCAGCTCTGGCTTTGCTTGCAGTTGTTCCCGACCCCGTGACGTTTAGGTGCCAGATGTTCTTGTTTCTTCCTGATTGAGCCCTTCAGACACCCTATGAATGCATACTTAGTGCCCACCTGGCAAGAGGACACGCAGACAGCATCTCCAAGTAGCCCAGAGGCCAACATGGGTTCCATTCTCTGCATCTTCTGTCTGCTGACAGCATGTGAGGAGTCCCAGTGGACAGGGCATGCGTATTCTGCATGCTGTGTGGCTGGACTCCATTTCTGGCTGTCCTGCCTCTCTCTAGATACCCTTATCTTATCTAATTACAAGGAATTTTAGATTAATTTCATGGCCTCTGTTCCCTACGACCTCTTATCTGTGGGGGCCTTGTATTTTCACCTTGTCATTCTTTTGTTGTTTGCCTTTAAGGAGTGATGGCTAGAAGGGGATGGTGTGGGAATCGGGTTGGGGGAGGGGAGGAGGGGGAAGGCAGACAGATCTGGACCGCTGCCTGTGTGTGGAGACAGCTGGCTGCTTTCTTCCATGACAGCCACATGGTACCCAGCCACACAGAACAGGACCTGGGCAGGGACTCGCCTGCTGCCAGCCTCTCCAGATCTCTTTGATATTTCCGACAGAGCAGTAAAGGACTCTTGACTATCACGGTTCTTTTTGCTTTGCCTCTCTCCACCTTCTGCAAGACTCCTCCATGTCGTTTCCATGACTACCCCCAATCAGATTTGGCTTCCTGCGAAATTGGATTTCAAAGGAGGACAGGGCTTCAAAGGAATTTGTCCATTTAACAGAATGTCATTAGGAGTGAGGCTGACTGCTGAACCAGGGTCCTCAGATGATTAAGGAGGGGCAGCACTCATGTGTGGAGGCAGGCTTCTGTCTGCAATGAGGAACCTTGATGCAACATGACAATAGCGTATTGGAAACTGCCAGTCACCAGCACACATCACCTGACTCACACCTCCCTCTACCTCCATCTCTCCCAAACCCAGACATCCACGGGGGAAGAAATGCAAGAAGAATATCTACCCTGTGCAGGTTTGCTTCTCTCTAAATGGCAGGAAGCCTGGGGTTCTGCCCTTTGTCAGACAACTCCTGAGCTCTTACCCTATGTGACCATGCTGGCCAATGTCCTTAAATAAGGGGGTGGGGCACTCTGGGTTTGCTTCAGATCCTAGAAACCTTCTGCCTTCTACTAAAGAAGGAGGGGGGGCTGTCTTTTTTTTTTCACCCATTGCTGGAAGAGAAATGGAGGAAGTTTGTACACTAGAGAGGGAAGCCTATACTCTCCCCTTTTGAAGAATGGTTTTATGTTTACAAAAAGAAGAGTGTGTGTGACCCACACAGTCTCCATGTTTAAATATACATGTGCACCAAATGATTCTAAAGCAGCTTTGGTTTTATCAGGGGGACAGCAAGGTAAAAAAAAAAAATGTCCCCAGAGGCAGCCTACACCCCATCTGGAGCCAGGAAGAGGCAGCCCAAGCCGGTGGCTATAGCTTCACACAGTAAGGAGCAGCACCATGGAGTTGGGTTCTCTGGCAACCAGACCAGGTTCTATCCCTTCAGTTCAACTTATAGCTGGTCGTGAGGCCCTGAAACCAAGACCATTCCTTCTCAGGTATCAGGATGTGATAAAAGCCACCGAAGCCCTTTAAAGTGAGGGTCCCTAATCTTGAGACCTCATCTTCATGGGGTGTGTGCACGCACCTATTCTAGGAGACACTTACACCTTGTGCCCTTCTGATCGGCTTCTCCTCTTTGCCGTGGCTTCTACATTGAGATCAGTATTATCTCCCCGCCCCAGGCAGGTAAACAAATCATTTACCTCCCTCCCATCAGGTGCTCCATCAACCACTCCCAATCCTCCATACCTATTCTGAGAATAGAAGAGAATCTGAGAGAGGGGGAGAGGGAGAGAGAGAGTAGCGGTGAAGAGAGGTGCAGGGGCAACAAAATTATAGATAATTTTCCACCTGCAAAGTCTTCCACCCTTTTAAAACTCGGTCTGGTATTTAGCACCCCTTTAAGTACACGTGCACCTACAGGCGCTCCCATCCTCCCCTGGCGTCTTATATCGTCCACGCTACTCTACTTTCTTCACGGCCCATTGTACTTAAAACAACAACAACAACCAAATAAACAACCTGAGTACTTGTGCACTCACAAGCGGTCGACAAAAACAACAAAGGGTTCCGTGTACCAAGTTCTTGCTGTAGTAACATCTTTGATACCTACTACAACCCAAACTTGGGCACTGACTGGCTGTACTTTGAGAAGGAGAGGGCACAGCCCTGTGATCTGGTCGATCACTTTCTTCCTTCCTCTATTCTGAGAAAGAGCTGTTTCTCACCTTCTCACAGCTTTCACCTCCGGAGGGAAGGTGTCTTTCCCTTTGTATTGCCTCTGATGCTAAGTCTCTCAGATGTTGAGGATCTGCACTGTCGCCGGGACTCTAGATTTTATTTTATTTTTTTAGCCAGCACGGCTTTCCCTGACAGTGAACTGGATCAGAACTGAGGCACTGCATCCTTGGCAAGGACCAAGCTCTTTCTTGGATTCTGCCTCTGCACCTCAGTTCAAGAGCAACCAAGGCCTTTTAAACCTGCCGCCCCAAGGTCAAATTGCTCAGTGCTTAGATGTTTCCGTCAAGACCTAGCCTCCAAGGCTCTTTGGAGTCTAGGCAATCTTTGGGTGCGGGGCTCAAAGGGCCACGCCTTTGACCTTGCGTGCCCCCTCAGTGGCAGGAGTGCACCTGCGCCCGGGGTCCGGGCTCCCGCCACCCGCTGCGCGCGCCGCTTCCTGAGCGCGCGGCTGGCGACCCCGCCCTGCGCCTGGGCCCCGAGGCGACAGCCGAGGTACAGGTGCCTAGGGTGCAGCTTGCTTCCCTCTGCCCGGCGCTGTCCGAGAAGGCCTCGCGTCCCTTGTCCCGCCTTCTGCTGTGGCCATCCTCTCGCCGCGCCAAATGCAGGCCGTCGCCCTCCCGGAGGAGATCTGTTGGCTCCTTGAAGGTAACTCCTGGCTCAGTGCCAGACCTCTGTCCTGACCCCTCCCCTCCGGGAGGACCTTTCAGTGCTGGGCTGAAGGCAAGAAAGGAGACACCAGGGCACCAGCCCTTCAGCCCCATCACTCACCTAATATAAGTTCTAGGCTTCCAGAGTCTTCAGTTCCCCAATTGTCCCCAATGCCAGCCTCTCTCACATCCTCTCACCTCAGGGTCCTCACCATTCCCTTGAGTTTCACATTTTTCTGTTCCTTCTAGGCAACTATATCACCGAACATCAATTCTAGGTCGCTGAGGTCTTGCAGGCCAGTTTATGGCCTTCCCTGACACCTTGCTTGGTCTTGAACCTGTCTCCCCGGGAAAATCCCTGAGGAGTGTAGCGATTAGATCTCATTCTCCCCAGTCCTGACTCCTTAACTCGAGGAATACACACGCCTTTCTGGGTAGATGTCTCCTTGGCACACAGTAGGGCTCTATGGAGATTTATGGATCTTTGGGCCAAGCCTGGTGGTTAGGGGACTTCTTATAAGTGTGGCAAGCAAAGGAATCCTTTACTAGCCTGAAGATTTCGAGGGGTATCATTTACCCAAGGGAAGCCTCAGAGTATGGTATTCCTTCCTTCCCGGAAGTGTCCCGTTGTGATGGTTTCACCTTCAAAACGGTCCTTTAGCATTGAGGTCACACTTTCCGACACTCAACACACACTCCTGACACTCCAAAGAGACTTCCTTGATGGGCAATATCTTGTGCTTGGCTCACATGGTGAAAATCCAGTTTTACTCATTTTCCTATGACTGACCTTCCTGGGAGGACAGAGGGCTGGAATCTGCAGTTGCGTAAGGGTCTCAGGAGGAAACTGCTCAGAATGAAGCCTTGGCATCCAGGCGACATATCTGACACGTAGTTAACAGATGGCCTGCTTTGGGCAGGTCGTGATTTTGGCAAGCTGCATTCTTTCCAGTTTCTCTCAGTTTAATTGGTTTTATATCTCCATTACCTTGTTATCTTGGTATAAATGCCTCCTAATCAAGGATTTGGCCAGTGCTTTTGGATTCTGTCTGTTGCGCTGTCTATTCTATTCAGGATTGCTTCTCTGTAAGAGTTGGCAGCAAGGTGTTTCTTTTGATGCGATGTTTCAAAAATCTATTTTAGAAAAGCATCTTATTTATTTATTTATGTATTTATTTATTTATATTTTTGGAGTGTATGCGTGTGGGTGTGTATGTGCCACAGCCCATTTGTGGAGTTCAGATGGCAACTGTTGGGAATTGGCCCTCACCGTCTTCCATCCTCCAGTGATGGGGATCAAACTCACATCTTCATGCTTGGTGGCAAGCACCTTTACCTACCACCGTCCTCCCTTGTACTTAGGGGATTGAATCTAGAACCTTACGCATGCTCATTAGCTGTTCTGCTACTGAGCTGCATTCTCTAAATTATTGAAAATCCACTTGTAAACCAAGAAACTGTAGAAATAAAAAGTTATTTGGAAGATAGAAGAAATTATCAGACACCTAAAGAGATTTGACCAGTGCTGGTTTGGTATTAGGTACGTAAAGGAAGGCCATAGTTGTCTTTGATTTTTAGAGAAGGAACTGCAGCCACAAGTTGAATTCTACCCTTATATTTAAAGAGAGCGTTTCTTTTTATAGGTGTCAGTCATTTTATGAGAAGAAACCCATTTTACAAGCTTGTTAAATGATATACTTCAGTTTGGTGCACAGCATCGATAGAAAAATCCCCTCTCATTTTCAGAGGCTAGTGATACGATCTCCTCCTTCAACATTTTTGATGTGCAGTTCTTTATTGTTCAAAACTGACACTTTGGTAAACAACTCATTTTTGCACCTGCCACTTTCCTTTAGCTCAGATTATTTTCTTGTTAGCTGACTGTTTTTAATTGAAGTCTTCAGATCTTTTTCTAAAGCAGAACCTTTGTTTGCTGACAAGCAGAGCTGGGTATGAATGGAGATTAATTGCATGTCACACACTTCTGTATCAAACTCGCTGTGTCTTAACAATCTCTGATAGTGCTCGAGTCTTTAGAAGATATGGAGGAGTCTGAGGTTACACCGTGAGGAGCCTCACTGGTTAACTATTTCTTTAGAGCCATCCCTCCCTTTAAACTTGTAATTATGCTCTTGAATCTGAAGTGGGGGAGGTATATATTGGGATATAACCAATGATTCTATTGAAAAGTGGTTAAAAAGTATGTTTTCGAAAGATTTGCATGATGATAGTAACATATTGGTTATAGGCTTTTATTTGTAATGGGATGCAGTTTCTAGTGTAAAGCAGAAAAATGATTCACTGTGTTACAATTTGTGAATATTAGAAATCCAAAATGGCCGTCAATTTGTTGTCTGGAGCTAGTCACTCCCCTCCCCCACCACACACACTTCTTAAGGTTCACTGTTAAGAGTTAGGAAATCTGTAGGTCCTTGATCTCTATATAGTCGCTCAGTGGGAGGGAGTCACAGGATATGAGAGCTGCCACACAGCACGGGGGTGGGGTTTTCACAATGAATTACTGCTTTCATAAACCAAGTCGTAAGCATTTGCACAGTGATTTAATGCCAGCTATCAGAGCCATAACTTAAACATTTATCTATTTGTAACAATAGGAGCATAAAATGACAGGGACATTTTTTTGATATAATGTGAGCGCTTTAGAAAAATAAAATATGCAAAATGCTGTGCAAGGTTTATACTGAAATTTTTGCATAACGAGGGTCTGGAATTAATTATAAGTATTAAATTTTAAACATTTGAAGATGTCTCATTTGACATGGAAGTCCCACTTCTAGGGACATGTTATAGAAATTAAAGACTTGAAATATATGTTAATATAAGTTTATCCCAGATGTCAACGAGGTGGGAAAAGCAGGTGACAGTTAATTGAATCATGGGACATCCATCTTAGTTTATATCCAAAGAACATAGGAGGTCTATGTGTCTGTCTGACATCTATCTATCTCAGCTTACAAAATGTCCATGGAGTGTTTTTCAGACTAAAGATGTGAAATACACAAGAGTACATATGATGGCCCTTTTTTATTTGAAAACAAAAAGCCAAAAAAAAAAAAGTTCCATACAGCATATAGGTTTGTGTAAGCCTCAGGAAAGTGTCTAAGACAGTCTCCTTTTAAGGACAGAGATACTTGTAGGGGTTAATGATTTTTATTACATATATCTTCAATTGGTTACATTGTGACAAAGGCCATGTATTACTTCCTGAATCAAGAAAGAATAGTCAGGTAGTTTTAAAAAAAAAAAAAAAGACACACAGAAGCCCAGAAGTTGCTGGGCAGTGGTGGCGCACGCCTTTAATCCCAGCACTTGAGAGACAGAGGCAGGCAGATTTCTGAGATTTTTGAGGCCAGCGTGGTCTACAGAGTGAGTTCCAGGACAGCCAGGGCTACACAGAGAAATCCTGTCTCGAAAAACAAAAAAACAAAAAACAAAACAAAACAAAACAAAACAAAACAACAAAAAAAACCAAACCAAACCAAACAAAAAAACAAAAAAAAAAAAAAAAAGAAGAAGAAGAAGAAGAAGCCCAGAAGTTAAAGGGCCATTAACTGCAGTTGTGATTGTTTTTCTTGTTTAGCCATGGGAAGTTGTGTGGAAAGTGTATATTAAAACAAAACAAACAAAAAAAACACCTTCTCTGTTGTTTTCTGGCAAATGACAAAGTGCCAAGAAGCTTCCAGCATCCCAGGAAACAGCCTCTTCCATCGGCCCTGTGGAGCTCCCACACAGGGACAGAAAGTGGTCCCATATCAGTGAATAAGGCACGGTACAGATAAGCAACCGAGGGCATCTTCCGCTTTATTGAAAGAACAGGAAATATTCAGGTCTGTTTTTAAGTAGTCAGGCTTCAGATGTAGAAGTTATCTTTTTTTTTTTTTTTTGGCTTTTGTTTAGTGATAACGATGCTGAAAACAAGAACAATAGGTTGGCAGCTTGTAATCTCTGTTGCACAGATACAAACACAGTCTCCTCTTCCTGGTCTTTCTAGCGCCACCCCACCTTGTGTGTGTGTCTCTGTCTTGATCTCTCACTCTTTTAAGAACCAAAGAAGAAAGAGTGAAGGAGGTGCAGCAGATAGATAGGATCCTGCTGGCTTCACCCCGATAGCTGATAGACTCAGCTGCCACTCAGTGCCGCCATGGGGCTTGGAAGATGGAGTGAAGCCCAAACGTCACTGCCTGGCTCCCTAGCACCGCCCCTGGCTCCCTAGCACCGCCCCTGGCTCCCTAGCACCGCCCCTCATATCCTGATGGTTGCTTACTTTTAAACTTGAGCAGCTGCCCTTGGTGGTGGCACATGCCTTTAATCCCAGCACTGCAAAGGCAGGTGGCTCTCTGTGAGTTCGAGGCCAGCCTGAGTTCTAGGACAGCCAGGGCTACACAGAGAAATTGTCTGAACTAAGCAACAACAACAACAAACCCCCTCAGCAGTCATTACCCATTTCCTTCTAGATAGTCCTCCAGAGTGGTAGTCCTAGATGAAAGGATAAAACGTCTTTCAGTTTCTCTAGATAGCAAAGGGTCTTTTAAACCGTTTAACTCGTAAACATCTTTGATCAAGTCTTTTAAAATAGGAATTAGCATCTTTCCTCCATTTCTGGTCTTGGAATGAGTCTCATTTAAACACTTCTAAAATCAGTATTGTTCTGGTGAATGTCTGCTATTCAAAGCTGTTTCTGACGGGGATATTCTTGGTTTCCTTATAACTGCCCGTCTGATTAATTCATTTATATGGAGCTGGAGACTGAACCCAAGGCCTCATGCATGCTAGTCCAAGATTTCTCTCTGAGCCAGACTCCTGTCTGCTTTGTACTTGATATTTTGCCATTTCTTACCTACTTTGTGAAGCTGAGGCCTTTTACTGTTTTTTTGGTTTGGATCTGTGTCTTTGGCGTTTCTGGAACAATAGATTATCAAGTATTTTGGAGCTATGTATAAGAGTCAATATAAGAGGTATCTTTGGGTTGGAGATGTA